AATTAGGGTTGTAGACAAGACATCGTTTTGTAATGGCTAAAGTTAAACAGCAGAGGGCGCTGTTTTAGAGGAGAAGCATGCACTTATACCCCCATGGCCATGACTTAAATCCAGTGATGACGTTAAATTTATTGAGTTATTTTTAATCAGTTAAACTGCATTTTAATGCCAAAAAATGAGTTCAAGTCCACTCTGATATTTATTGATTCTCTGTTATAATTTAAATGTTTGAATTAACCAATGTCTGTGATTTAGCTTCAGAGTAGCCTACTGCTTGTATTACTAGCATGAATACTGAGATCTGTTTCACAAATTAACTGTAATATTTTTACAGTAAATTAATAGCTATGTTAATTCATTCAACAATCATATAAAACAGCAGATTTATACCAGAAAAATACATAGGCCTAATATATAAATAACAACAATGGTCTAAACCAAACATGAAGTCAGTCAGTAACTTAGACTTTTTAGCTACATTACAACTTCAGTAATAAAGTACATTTATTATTTCTTCCTGTCATAAATAATAATTATAAATATTTACTAATCTATACTGTTCTCTGTTTACCAGGTTATGGGATGAAACTTGTGTACTTCCATGAAGAGAACTTAGGCAGTGTTGCCTTGGAGAGGATGTTTGGGCAGCTCTCTGCACGAGCTGGATCCTGATTATTACACTTTCACTGTACTCCAAACAAAGCTGCCATCATTACCTGCCTAAAAGTAAACAATGAAACACTTTTGTTCAGTTTTTACTGAATAAGATTTATTCTGTGCAACAAGGAAGAAGGTTAATAAGAGATGATATCTAAAGGCTTTGAATTAATTAATCAATTCAATTTTGTCAAAGACTGCAAAAACGACACTTACAAAGTGCCACCACACAGGGGCGCTGCTTCACATAAAACAATGCAAAAAAAAAAAAACTGACTAACTTCCCTCCTGGCTGAATAAAAGTCTTACCTCTTAAAAAGAAAATCGCATTTTCTCATCATGCTGCGGGTCATTGTAGAATCTGCTTGTGGGATCCCTAAAAAGAAAATTGGAAATCCGGATCCAATAGTTACTGTTATTTTCAGAGGTAAGAAACATTTTACAACTGCTACTTTGACTTTTTTTATTGTTATTATGCTTTTTTTTTGTCAGATGAAGTGTACTGTTATTATGATCATTACTTTTATTTTTATTAAGCTATAAGTAAATCTTGCTCCTTGTGAAAACATACCTTAGCAGTTTGTGCCTTTTTTGAGGGGCTTGAGTTGAATGTTTCAGTTGTGATTCACAGAATGTGAAACATCCTTATAAGGTCAGTGTTCTTTAGTGTTCAGAGTGCTAAACGTTTTTGCAATAATAGTTTATCTTAGGATAAATGTATGTAAAACATCCCCAAAAAAATACAATCCGAAACAAACTACATACTAATCTGTTTCAAAAGTTTAATAAAGAAAAATCTGTTTTCAGGTGAGAAGAAGAAAACTAAAGCAGTGAACAATGAGTTAAATCCAGTTTGGAATGAAGTAAGTGAGGATTTTACAGAGTTGATAAGTTGAAATGATTTTATTTTAAACTCCTCTTTCTGTTGCAGATCCTTGAGTTTGATCTTAAAGGTGCTCCTTTAGACTCCTCATCGTTCATCAGTGTGGTTGTAAAGGATTATGAAACCATTGGAAAACACAGGTTTGTGTAAAAATACACACATTGTATTTTAACTATCAGCCAAAGTGATCAGTGTTGTTAAAAACATTGATTTGTTCTGCAGTATGTTGAAACTTTACAGAACTGTTTATTAAAAAAAACGCTTCACTGCGTGTTCAGACTTGCTGCAGTAGAAAAGGAGGCAAGTTGTGTTTTTACAGGAATGTTGCCTTAAATGGAATCAAACTTTCTCTTCTTCAGCTCCAAACCCCTTTATTTGTGTTATTATAACTTCTTTTTTTTTTCTGTGAAGTTAATTAATTGTTCTGCATTGTTTGTTGGGGACATTCCTGACTCCCCTGGTCTGTCTGAAGTTCAGGAGAGGACAGATCAAGTAATAACATTTCCTCTGAGTCACCCCAGCCGCTGAACGCTAACAGAGTAATTTATCCTGGGGATGGGGAGGCCTGGGGGCAGTGTCTCCCTCCTGCAAGCTCTTGAATGATTTTCCGGGATCATGGTCTGAAACTTCAGAGAAGTGAGACGGGAGCTTGTGCCGGCCTGTCATTGGCACGGCTACAGCTCAGCCTGGAATGACATTTAAACAAAAACTCAGACCAAACTTTGCAGCTAAGAGCATCCATGGCACACAGCATCAACTGTGACTTTGGTCACCGTGAGCACATTTGTAATTTCAGAAACCACCCAGAGTGTTGTAATAAATTGTGGTTATTAATCACGAAGGCAGGACTTCTGACAAAGTGACAATGTAGGTGTTGGTGTCTTTTTTTGCAGCAAAAATGGGAAGTAGAGCGTGTCGACCATCCCTAGTAACAAAAACAAATGCTTTCAAAAATATTGCATCCAGTTCCCTAATGTTTGATCTGTTCCTCTCTGAAGCATCCAGCCCAGCAGTTCCCTCTACTGATGTGTGCCAGTCTTTTTTCTTAAACAGGACTGTATCTGGTTGGTTTTCAGGTTAATTGGCTCTGCACAAATCTCACTGAAAGACCTGGTCAGTGGTCAAGTAAAGTCTCTCCCATTTAAGAACGTACCTTTGGCCAACGAGAAGCAACAGCCTATCGGGGTAAATACACTTAGTTTATACCATCATCCTATGCAACTTTTCATCTTTTTTGAATAAAAAGTATGTAAGTAATAATTGTGTGAGGGTTTTTTTATTCAAAAGAACCAGATTTTCTTTTTCAAAGTGTTCTTGAACCAAAAATCTTCAGGATTTCTGAAGTTCTTCCAAATTGTTTTGTTGATTGGCTGTATTTTTATTAATCATTTTTACAGTTTTTTTTATTTTATTTTATTTTTAGTTTAGTTTATTAGGCCATTTATTTTAGACAGAATCATTTGAGATTAAAATAAACTCCTAAACTCAAATGAAAAATTGGTGCTAAACTGGTTTAGCATTTAGTTTTCTGTCTGGGAAGACCAAAGTCCAGCCCTATGGTTTATGGTTTGTCTCTAGTTAGTGTTATCTGGTTTTAGTTCTTTTTATGTTTTTGTATTCCCGACTTTTAATAATTAAAATCTTTTTTTTTGTACCTGGCTTCCTGTTTTACTAGATGTTTTTCCTTTTATATAAATGTGCTTTCCACTTGTTTTAGTTTACTTCCTGTTCCTGTCTGACATATAGTTTCCAATCATTGTACTTTAAGTTTAATGTGTGTGTATAATTCTTCCTCTGGTCTTTGTCAGATCCTCGGCCCTGTAGTTTTAGTAGTTTCTTGTATTTTTTGCTTTTATTTGACTTCGGCTGTGCTTTGGATTTCATGGCTTGTCTACTTACTGTTTATCCCTGCATTTGGGACCCTCAGCCTCCATCCTTAGTCTGTCACAAAACAAAATTTCTTCTTATATTATGGATTGAGTCTATGAAAAATAACCCCCCCCCCCCCCCAAAAAAAAGACTTTAACAACACAACATGATTGTGTAGACCTTCACTTGTTCATTTGCTTCATTTTTGAAGCTGCATAATGTTTAAAATGATGGACAGATGGACAGAAGTTACTGTGATCTGTAGTAGGGAGAGTAGGGAGCAGGTGGAAGAGAGTCTGGAGAAGTGGAAACAAAATATGTGTGTGTGAATTAGAGAGGGAGTGAGGTTTAAAAGAAAGTTGTAAGGTGTAAGGGTATTAAAGATGGATTATCTGTGGTCAAACACTCAGAATAGTGGTTAAACTCCACAAACAACAGAAAATGGGAAAAAGGGAACTGGGCAGAAAATGTGTGAAAAGACAGCCCAGTAAAAAAAAAAAAAAATCAATCAAGTTTGTTTTACAGATTACAAGAAATTCTGGTTCGTTTGAAGCAATTTACAAAGATGTGCTTCAAAGAAACTGAGATTATAATCTGTGATATATTCTTTTTGCAGGCCACAATTAATTTGCTCGTTGGGTATGACTGTCCTGCCAACAGCAGTCCAAACCCAAATGATCAAGCTAATGTGGACTCATCCTTTGTGGAGGCTGGTAAGAAGACTTCTAATTAAAAAAATAGATAATAACAAAAACACTCATAACAAAACTAAATAGTTGTGGCTTTTAAGTTGTGAAAGTTAGAACCGTTCATGTGCACAACTAAACATCAGAAAACAATACAAAGCATATTCTGAATGTTCATGACCACATGGAATAATTGTGGGTTTTACCACAGAAGGCAAAGAGGAAGATTACGAGGGAGAGGAAGATGTGGACGGAGCGGGACAGGCTGGAAGTCCAGGAGCTCCTCCTTTACCCAACCAGCCTGGAAAACGGAGCAACAAGTCTCAGCGTTTCAGCAGAAAGAAGCCCAGAGCGCTGCCCAACAAGCCTCAGGACTTCCAGGTTTCCTGATTACTCTTCCTGTGTGAACCAAAAACAGCCTTTTAGTGGGGAATTCGGTTTGTTTCCATGTGAAACAGCGAACGTCATCTGTTCAAACATCCACTCAGACTGCAAATCAGTAGATTCTTCTGACGTGCTGGAGAATTATAAATACTATTCTTCATGCATCAGGCTAGATTTAGTAACAACAGAGCAAAACCTTAGTGCCACAACACAACACACCTACATCAGCACCAAATACTCTCAACCCCAATGCAAGAAGAAGAAACAGCCAGTCACACTGTCAAAGTTTTTCTTTCTTCTTGTTGCTCCTTCTGTTCAGATCCGTGTTCGTGTTATCGAGTGTCGTCAGCTTCCCGGCAACAACATCAAGCCTGTGGTGAAAGTGAGCACATGCGGACAAACTCACAGGACTAGAATCAGAAGAGGACACAACCCATTCTTTGACGAGGTGACTTTGTTTGACCGTCTTACATCACCATCGTTGGACCTTTCGCTTCTTAACACCTCTTATAAACATGTTTTTCTTGACTTTTCCCAAGGACAGAATAGCTTTGAATTACTTCTGACCTCTTAATGTCTCACCCATATATTGACTCGGTTAACTGTTAACTGTGAGTCACTTTGACCCAAGGGCAGCAGGAGGGTGAAAAAAAAGAATTTGTTCCTTTTTTTAGTATTTATTTTGTGCTTCAGATGTTTTTCTACAACGTCACCATGCTGCCTTCAGAGCTTTTGGATGAGAGCATCAGTCTTCGAGTGAGCATGAATCCACTGCAAAATAAAATACATTTCTGTTTTACTCCCATTTAATGGTGTTTTCTCCTCTTTTTTCCCCTCAGGTCTATGACGCCTTCTCCCTCAGAGCAGACAGTCTGATGGGAGAATTCAAGGTATTTTTTTTTTGAAACGGCTCTTAATTTTACAGATTTTGAGTGAAAATTAGACGTGGTTGTAGCTGAAAGAGTCCTTCATGATACATATTGTACTTTGACTGACTCCATCATTTTTCAACTTAAAGGGCCAATATTATGTGTCTGTCAGGCCTATATTTAAATACTATACTATAATAAAGTATCTATGTCACCGTTAGCTGTTATTAAAATGCTGTTTTTATGTTTAAATAGAAAATAAACTTATCTTCTCATCACTTCCTCTTCTAAACGCCTTGAAATTGGTCTCTGTCTCTTTAAGAACCTCCTTCCGCTTCCGTTTTGCCCATTTCGGTGCAGGGGGCGCTCGTGGGGGATTGGGGGGATCGGGGCTGCCATGATGCAGTTTACTTGGCATCTGAAAATACATTTCCTCAAAGGTATTTCTAATCTGAAAAGACCTAATGTTGAGAGCTCAGCAGACAGTTAGGTTTCACTTTCACTTTCACCGGAGAGCCTGCAGGAGTCATGGGCGGGGTGTGTTCCTCTGCCATGAGGAAGTTGGCTTAAAGACACGTCCCAGACGTTTCTGGTCCCCACCTGTCGTTTTGCTCCTCAGCATGGCTGCCTAAAAACGCTGCAGGATTTCTCAAACATGCATGAATGAGTAAAAGCAAGGCTTTGGGCATGTTTTTGTATGAGAGTATAGCATTATAACATGATATAAAACTCTAAAACGTTGATTTTACATGACATTGCCCCTTTAAGATAATCTAAAACTCTGTCATGGAAGGTGACAATAGATAAGCATTCCTTTAAGAATAAATTGCCTTTAATCAATAATATTTTCCTTTTTATTCCTAGTTGGATGTCGGCTACATCTATGATGAACCTGGTCAGTTTTACCACGGGAAAGGCCTTTTTTGAAAACCATAATTCTTTTTACACAGTCTCTGTATAAATATTGTTTTAAACATAAATCTCATGTCACTCTTAGGTCATGCCATAATGAGAAAATGGCTCTTGCTGAGTGATCTGGATGACTCCTGCTCAGGGACGAGAGGTTACCTGAAAGTCAGCATTTTCATCGTGGGCACCGGAGATGAGCCACCGGTACAGATGCTTCCTTTACATCATCATCACAAACATTACTGCACTGTCAAAATGGAGTCAAATCTTTCCTTTTTCGCCTCAGACCGAGAAGAGGGAGCTGAACGAGGAGCAGGACGACATAGAGGGTAATCTTTTGGTGCCGGCAGGCGTCACGATGCGATGGGCTACTCTGAACCTTAAAGTCTACCGTGCAGAAGACATGCCGCAAAGTAAAACGACTCAAACATTCACAGACGCCACATCCTTTCAAGAAACTTTTAGTTAAAGGTTTTGTGTTTGCAGTGGACGATGCTTTTGTTCAGACCATGAAGCAAGTCTTCGGAGGGGATGGGGACAAGAAAAACCTGGTTGATCCATATTTGGAAGTCAGCTTCGCTGGAAAGAAGGTACTTCAGGTCCGATTAAATTTAGAAGCCGAGTCGTTTGAAATTCTAACTTTGTCTTCATTTTCTTTGAGCTCTGCACCAAAATAATGGAGAAAAATGCAAATCCAGAATGGAACCAAGTTATCAACCTTCAGTTCAAAGTAGGTTTTAAAAGAAAAACTGTTCCTAACGTTGGACTTAAAAACACTTTTATAACCATGAGCTCTGTCTTTGCAGTTCCCATCTATGTGTGAGCGCATCAAGCTGACCATGTATGACTGGTAAGAGTTAAAATCCAAATATATACCTTAATGATACCTCAATCAATATGTAACATTTGTGTTTCCTTTAAAAGGGATCGTCTGAGTAAGGATGATGCTGTAGGAACAGAGTTTCTGAATCTAAACAAAATGTCTTACTATGGAGGAGAAATGGAAGGTAATCCTGCCAATTTGCATTTGTTTTCATAAAAATGTTTTACACTTGAAATTTTGAAATGATTTTTCATTAATGCTGCTTTCATGATTTGTTTGAAACAGAAACACAAACAGAAAGCAACAACAAAGTCTCTGAAAGTATGTATGAAATGAGCATCTTTTTATGATTCTGTTTTTACAAAATAACTTTTTTTTAGTACGTAAAAAATTGATTTATTAGGACTTATTGCAGTATGTCAGAACTAAACCCTTTCTGACTGGAGACATTAATAGAAAATGGATTAAGCTTGTGGAAATCTGTTTTTAAACTGTGTTGCAGTGAGCCTCACAGTACCAGAAGGGGGGTTTCTTCCTGCGTTTGGACCTTGTTATGTCAACTTTTATGGAAGCCCGAGGGAGTTCACCGGCCTGCCTGATCCATATGAGGAACTCAACTTTAGAAATGTACGATTATTTTAGTTTAATAAAGACACATTAGCATTTGCACATACTATTTAACATTATGGATGTGTAGAAATGAGATTCTAATATTTTGATCTGTCCCAGGGGGAAGGAGTGGCATACAGGGGGAGGGTCCTGGTTGAACTTTCCACTCAGTTGGATGGAAAGGTTGAGAAGAACGTGGACGACATCTCAAATGATGACATCCTTGTGGCCCAGGTAAAAACATTTTTGTCATGATGTAATTTATGTTTCAACATTCTAAATACTGTTCTCCATTTTATTTTGTGTATGTTTTACTGTTTCTGCATACTTTGTGCTATTTTAGCTGTTCATTGATAAAAGTTTTGGGTTGTTTTTTGTATCATTTACACTTTTCAAATGCTTAAATTTAATTACAAATGTTTTTCTATAGAATATGATTTAATATTATTCTATTTAGAATATGCTTTGGCAGACTTGCTCTGTTTTTGTTTTTTTATTGACACTTTTAGTTTTTAGCTAGTCTCTAGCTACTTTTAGCTTCTAGTTACTTCTAGTTTTTAACTAGCCTTTTGCTACTTTTAATTTGAAGCCCTTTGCTTCAATTTGTTATTGAGCTGTTTGCTACATTTAGCATTTAGCCAGACTTTTGTTGCTTTTGGTTTCTATCCAGCTTGTACTGCATAGTCACTTAAAAGTCATTTAGTTTCCTTTACCTTTACAGCAGATTCTTCTTATTAAATATTTGTTTATTTTAAATATCAATAATGAGAACAGAAAAAAGAACAACACTATTGCTGCATACTCCTCTAACTCATGCAGTCAGGTTTGTGCAATAAAAAACAGGTAGGAGACAAAAGCTCACAACCTCAAAAAAGAAACTTAAATATTACAAAAAACAAAGGCGGACAGGGCAACAAAAAATGTATTTACAGGAACTAACTCTAGGACAAAAATGAAAACATCTAGGCTCAAACCAAACAGAAAACAGCACAATGAACCCGCAGGGAAGCAACGACAAGACAGAATGTAAACGAGGGGATGATAAGGGTCAGGTGTTTATGGGAGGAGCTAGGGAAGAACAGAGGGCATGTGTATTAAAGAGAACACAAAGATAACACTAAAACTGAACAAATCACAGGGGGAGATGAACACAGATCCTCACACACAAACACATCCTTTCTAATTACTTTCAGAAATACCAGCGGAGGAGGAAGTACTCTCTGTGCGCTGTTTTCCACAGTGCCTGCATGCTCCAAGAGCTGGGTGAGCCAGTCCAGTTTGAGGTCAGCATTGGGAACTATGGTAACAAGCTGGACACCACCTGCAAACCCCTGGCATCCACAACCCAGTACAGCTTTGCCATGTTTGATGGTACTGACTAAGAAAATCTGCTGTCTAAGTGTGTTTAAATGTGTAAACACATCGGCACACACCACAGTATGTTTAAAGTATTTGGGTAACTCCGCAGGTAATCACTATTATTACCTGCCCTGGGCCGACACTAAGCCTGTGGTGATCCTTACTTCATACTGGGAGGACATCAGCCACCGTCTGGACTCGGTTAATGTCCTCCTTTTCATTGCCGACCGACTGGTGAGACTATAGGTCACCATGCCTCAATGTTTGTCCAACTATTTTGCATCGACACAGGTTGGGTTCATTAATCTGAGTTTTAATGGCTCGTTTCAGGAGTCCCACCTTACCAGTCTGAAAACAGCCCTGTTGGCCAAAGTGTCTGAGGCACGTTTGAGAGAGATTTGGCTCAAACTCATCGACCACTTGATCGAGGACTTGGACAGGTGAGTCCCAGCTCAGCTGGTCAAATCCTGCATTTAACGTATTTGTTCCGCGAGGCTCTAACGCAGCAAGTTTGTTGTTTTATTTTTGGTAGTTTGCAGCTTCCGGCTCTAGACGGTCAGCCTACCATTACAGCACTTGATCTCCAAATCAAGACTCTGCGCGACGCTGCAGTGGGCAGTATGAGGCAGATGGCCAGCTGTGTGAGAGAAGAGGCCACAGATGTCAAGTCCACTGTTGTGGACATTGAAGAGTGGCTGGAAAGAATCAGGCAGCTGGCTGAGGAGGTCTGTGATGCGCCATATAAACACAGAAATACGTCACTCAAAAAGATACCACTGCAACCTTATTTAAAGCGTTACATCTTCCTCAGCCTCAGAACAGCATGCCAGATGTGATCATCTGGATGTTGAGAGGGGAGAAGCGGGTGGCGTACGCCCGAGTCCCGGCCCACCAGATCCTGTACTCTAAATTTAATGAGCAGGCCTGTGGCAAGCACTGTGGAAAGACTCAGACCATCTTCATGCAGGTATATTCTTAATAACACCTTCATTATGCTTTATTACAGTGATTCTTAACCTATGGGCCGCGATCCAATTGTGGGCCGCGAGCGCCACCTTGAGGGCCTCAAAAGAACAACAGTTTTTAACTTTGGGCCGCAGAGGGCCGCGGGACCGCACTGATTTTGAATAAGATGCAATACACTTTCTCACCACTAGCAGCAGTAGTGCGCCACTCAGTTGTTTAACAACTTTTTTAATAAGTAGAAGAAGAACCTTAGATGGAAAACATCTATTTTAAATGAAAAGCAGAAGTAAAAATGAAGTTAACCCATCAAAAAAAGCCAAAGTTTGTCACTAATATGAAGTGCAGCTTCTGGTTCTACCATGCAATATTTTAAAAGTTCAAAACATTATCAAACACATTTGCAGATACAGCTATTTGCACTTTATCAAATAAATTTTTCCATTTTATTTTTAAACATTTTGAATGTATTTTAAAGAAACTTTAAACTTGTCAAAATCTGTTGTTACTGTTATTCTAGTCATTAATATGAAGCAGCTTCTGGTTCTACCATGTAAAAGTTTAAAAAGGCTGTGTTTTCATTTGCACTTTATCAAATTTATTTTTACGTTTTTTTTATTTAAAACATTTACATTAAACATTTTGAATGCATTTATTTTATGACCACAATTTTATTTATTGACTTGACTNTTGACTATTTTTGTTATTGTTTATATAAAAAAATAATTATTTTTTGTGTTTTACATTTAAACTGTAAGTGTATTTAATTTAGTCATAATGTAAATACAATACAAATTAAACCAAGATTTAAAATAACTATCATTTTGATCCGTGTAATGTCTGACTGGGCCTAGTGCCTCTTTATGCTCAACAAATTGGGCCCCAAGGTCAAAAAGGTTAAGAACCCCTGATTTTTTATATGCTCGGTTGTTAATTTAATTTTGCTTTCCCAGTACCCCATGGATAAAAACAAAGGCGTGAAGATTCCCGTTCAGCTCCGGGTCAACATGTGGCTCGGTCTCTCTGCTCATGAGAAGAAGTTTAACGCCTTCTCAGAGGGAAACTTCAGCGTCTACGCTGAAATGGTAACAGATTTGTTTTTTTGAAAAGAATGGTGTTCACATTTTTTGAAATTTCAAAGTGATGTCCGTCTGCAGTACGAGAACCAGGCTCAGGTGTTTGGGAAGTGGGGAACCACTGGCCTCGTCGGTCGTCACAAGTTCTCAGACGTGACCGGAAAGGTGAAACTCAAACAGGAACGCTTTCTGCCTCCGCGAGGCTGGGATTGGGATGGAGACTGGTTTGTTGACCCTGAGCGAGGGTGAGTTTCAGAAACAAGCTTTCATCAAGCACAAGCACACACTCTCACACAATCCTTTGAGATTCTTGGCTTGAACAGTCCCCCGCAAGTGCAAACATCCTGTTTTCACCCGGCATCTGAACACTTTCAGGAATTTTGTTCATTTTCCAGCGTATAAGGAGATATAAAACCCAACAAGCTGTGTTTGTTGAATGAGTTGATTAGATTAGGTGCAGGCAGAACTTTTTCTGAAACCCACAATAACAAAATGTCATATTTAATTAAAAGTGAAATTCAATAGAATTGACTAATATTGCTTTCCTGTTTCTGTTTTTTCCCCCACAAGAATTAATTTTAGATTAAAAGTGAATTATCAGCGTACTTTTAGTTAATAAAGACAAAGATTACACACTGTACCTGTAGCCACCACAATTCATTCCTTTTTACATTTATTCAAGGAGCCAGGATTGTTTTGTAATCTTTTAAAAAGGGACTGTTGTCAAGTTTTTTCAAGCTTTCTGATAATTTATTTTAACTTTTGCTCCTTTTTTGACAGTWTTTTGTTCAGTGTGTTTTAAAAAAATGAAGTTAGCTCAGTTTATGAAGATGGCTAATGGTACCAGTCGCAGCGTGAAACCACATCAAGGTCGCAGTTCTGGGATATAAATAGGATTTGGAATTTGAGCATCAGTGAGTGTTTTGGTTTAATGAAATCATCTTCCCTCCCTCTGACCCTCTGAAGTGCTTTCATTCTCCCACAAGCTGATGTAAATATTCTCTGTAACGTGTCCGTCTGAGCGGCTCTGTTGGTTTGTTTATAGCTTGTGTCATGGAGCCTGTCATTAACCTGTGCTCTGTGCTGGTGTTTCCTGCAGCCTGTTGACAGAAGCAGACGCAGGGCACACGGAGTTTGTAGATGAGGTCTTTCAGAATGAAACCCGCTTTCCTGGTGGAGACTGGAAGCCTGCTGCAGAACCTTACACAGACGTGGTACGGGTTACAGTTGCCCCTCGAGCACATTCACATTTACCCTTTATTGCTAAGTTCACATGGATTGTTTTGTGTGACTGGACCTTTGGCAATGAGACCATTTTAGGGAGAAAAAAAAAGGTGCGGTCAAAGGGAAATAAGCAAACAAGGACATTGAGACATAAGATCTTTATCGAGAAAGTCCTTACCTGATGATTAATTCTGGAGTTTGTGAAAGCTCTAATCATGGGTGCCTCTTCAAAGCTGATTGGTTCATGGGTTTAAATCTGTAAGAATCATGTCTGCAGTATATACATACACCACATTTTGTAATTAATTGTGTCACAACCTCATCTCCAGTGTTGTATAAAGTACTACTTGAGTAAAAGTACAAGTATCTTACCAAAAAATTACTTTGGTAAAAGTGAAAGTCTCCTTTAGGAATATTACTTGAGTAAAAGTCTTAAAGTATCTGATACTTTTGTACTTAAGTATTAAAAGTAAAAGTATTGATTTAAAATGAGCAGTTAGATTTTCCGTAATGACGTATTAAGAAGTGAACTCCCCCCCCAAAAAAGGCAGAAATGACTATATTGTATTAAAAATATTTAATTTATGTTAAATTTAGGATGCACTGGTCCAGCTGTTTCCGTTTATATACATAGTATACTTCTCATTCAACCACAATTATATTCCCTCTATCTAGAAGCAACAATTTATATGAATAATATTTATTTTTTACAATAATAAGCTGGAATGAAAACAAGAAAAAAATGAAATAAAAGTAACGACTTTCTACTTGTTGCCTTTTTTAAAAAATGTAAGGAGTAGAAAGTACAGATAATGTGTGAAAATGTGAGAAGTAGAAGTAAAAATATGCTGAAAAAGAATTGCTCAAGATACCCCCCAAAATTAAGTACAGTAACAAAGTATTTGTACTTAGTTACTTTACAACTCTGTTCATCTCAGGCTTTATACTCTGCTGAACTTGTGACCTGCTAAAGTTTCAATAAAGTGCTACAAAAGACATTTGTTATTTGTCAGCACAAACACAGACTTAGCAATTAAAACAAACAAAACACAATCATATTTACTAGTAAAATGAATACTTTAGAAAATATTCAAAATAACTATTATGACCAATAAAGCAGGTTAGGTTTTGTACTTAAAAAACCCCCAAACTTTCCAAAAGTACTTTTTTAAATTTATCGAGTCTGTCATATTGCACAGACAAATGTCAAACTGTGTGTTTTTGTACAGAATGGAGAAAAGTCTCAGAGCCCAGGAGATTTTGATTGTCCACCTGGTTGGACCTGGGAGGATGAGTGGAGCTTTGACAGTGACAGAGCTGTGGATGAGAGAGGTAAACAAAGAAAAGAGTCTTGATAATCTTATTTTCTTTTTACTTTTGTGCTTGGAATATTAACTCCATGCACATGTCTATCATTACCAGGTTGGGAATATGGAGTAACCGTACCCCCCGATGATAAACCCAAATCCTGGGTGGCAGCAGAGAAAATGTACCACAACCACCGCAGGAAGAGACTCCAAAGAAAAAGAAGGAAGGTTTCTGAAATCACAGCTCCTGCTGAGGTGAGAAAGATGCAGATGAAAAAAAAAAAGAAGAAGCAGGTTTGAAACATATTTATTTTTCTCATTCTGTTGTAGAGAAGAGATCCAGGTGAAGGCTGGGAATACTCCTCTCTGATTGGCTGGAAGTTTCATCGAAAGGAGCGCTCCTCCGACACGTTCCGACGCCGCCGCTGGAGGAGAAAGATGGTCCCGTCAGACTGCATCGGCGCCTCTGCCATCTTCAGACTGGAAGGAGCATTAGTGAGTCTTGCTTAACTGCTTCAAGTGTGACAAATAAACAGGCTGTCGTGGCAACGGGAGTCACTTCATGCTCTCTGAGTCACATCCTCTGATTATTTTTGGGCATTCTGTTCCTGTAAGATGTTGACACAGTCATTAAAAAAAGTTTGTTGCAGGTCATTCATTTATGCAAATTTTGATAAAAATGTTTCTTAAAGGGATCCGTGATTAGTTGTAACATTAGACTTTATTTAATAAACATATATTTTAACTGTAAAATAAAGACTAAAAATACTGTAGGCTGTTT